AGAGAGAGAGAGAGAGAGAGAGAGAGAGAGAGAAGCTTCTCCGGGAAGCAGTTACTAACATGGCGAATCAGCACTCCTGCACCACAACGGCCAGGCCACATTTCGATTATTATGTGGGCGGAACTTGATTTGACTAATTGAAACACTGAACAGAAATGGAAGGCGCAGGTCTCACCCCCCCTCCCCCCGGACACACACCCAACTCGCCCTCCCCATGGACTGGCGTGACCTACCCAGCACTCGCATTTATTGTAACGTACGGAGAAGGGTACATGGGCATGTCAATTTGGAGTTCAAGTTTTACAACGAGTTTTAAGGCACTTTCAACGTTTTAGTTTTAGTAAGAGTTTTGTGACACCTGCAACACAGTAAGGTCATATAAGTTCCAAAGATTAGAGGTGATACAAGAGAGTAACAATAAATACAAAAAAGAAGGAGGGGAGATGGAGACGATATATTTTCTTTTTAGGAAAGAAGGAGCAAACCACACAAAAGCACCCGCCAACCACCCACTTTCAACACTATTAGGTTATTAAGTGCTAAACATGAGAGGTGTCTGTTACTAAAGCGTAACATACAAAGAAGAGAAGGATAAGATATAAAGTTTGCTTTATAGTTCAATAACGAGTTTTGCGGCACTTGCAAAACAATTAAGCCACACAAGTGCCCACAATGATGTGTCACTAGAGAGTTACATTCAAAGAAAAGAGAAGGAGAGATAAGTACAATAGATGTTAGATAGGAAAGAAGGAGAAAAAAACAAACAATAGTACTCGTTCACCACCCGCTAAATTTGAAAAAGCATGGTTGGGGCGGGGGGGTTTACACATTATGTATATAGATGGGGAAAAAGGGCAGAAGAATAGTTGGGATCAAGACTTTGCCATTGTGAAGAGAACGACGTATGTATACAAAGAAACACACACACACACACTCACACCCACTCTCTCTCTCTCTCTCTCTCTCACACACACACACACACACACACACACACACACACACACACACACACTCTCTATCTCTGTGTCTCATACACACATACACACGCACACACACTCACAGACACACACAAGTACACATGCATACTATACTCATAATTATAATGTGTGTATTTTATTGAAATTTCAGTGTGATGAAACATGATATGACGCTTTCCTTTTTTTTTTTACTTTATTGATATATTAGTCAACTCTTTGATTTCATGGAGTACTGTGGAGAAATATTTCCATCTTTTTTTCAGATTACACATTTTTAAAAAAATCGTTACCGCTTTCCTTTTTATTCTAAACTAGCTGGGCCCCCTTTCGATGAACGGAATGATCCGTGCTTTAACATCAACTGAAAGTCATTAGCCTACTAGATCTATATTTACACTCTATTGGAATGGAGCAATACATCTTGAGAGATGCAAAAATAATAGGTCTAGATCTGTACTCTCAAGACAAAATGCGCCTCGCGAAATATCTGTTCCGGCACTACTGCTGTGAAGGACAGCTTAGCAGATTTATTTCGTTTCTCAGTGGAATAATCACGAAGGCCAAAGCAGGACAGGAACTTTTTGTCAAATATATTTTTCTAAATTCAGGAAATTAATAAATAAATTCCGCTCCGTCATGGGGACCTATCTGTCTTTTTGCAGGTACTTGCCAACTTTCAACTCTGTTGCTGTCGTAGTTTTATGGGAAAAGTGACACATGTGTTTCCAAGTTACCAAGTATATAGATCTAATAGATGTAGGACCCTGCTTTCGTGGTTGTACACCCCAAAATTTCAAAGGTGTGGAACCAGTGCGCAAAGCTAGTGAAAGGAAACCTCACTTGTTTACAATGGCGTCTCAGAAGACGGACTTTCCCAAGATTAGATTTGAAACGAAACTAATGAAAAACTGAACATTAAAGTACAGTGACTTCAGGCTTCTCAATAAAACTGTGCACCCTTTAAATGATTCTGAACCACCATTAATTTGTGAAATTCGAAAGTTAGGTGGTTCGGAAGTTTTAGGCGTCCAAAGTGACGAACTTTCATAAATATAATATATAGAAATTATATAAATCTTATTTTCAATAGTCTTGTGGAAGTCATTGTAGGCCCTACATGAATTTACTTTTAGCTTTAATAAATTTTAATCCTGTAACAATGCATGCATTATTTTCAAAGACAATTCATTGATTTATTTTTTTCATCCTAACTTTTCCCAGATATAAGGGTTTTCCTCCGAGGAAAGGCCCATGCAGAGTGGAAAATCACAAGGGCCGGAGAAAGGAGAGCAATGAAGCAGGATGAGCACTATATGGATGAGAGACTCTTACTCTGGGGCAAAGGTTTGTTCCACATTCTTTTCATGGTCAGGTAACACTTTATTTATTTGGAATTTCTGTCCTGGGGAAAACATTATCAACATTTTAAAAAAAATGTTTTTGTATGGTATTGTTTGTTGGAGATAACTTCTACAGTGAAAGTGAGAGAAAATTTGTCATTGTTATTTTTTAAATTGAAGACTTTTATGATTATTGTTAAGTTAAATTGAGGGTGAGGAATTTTATCATTTGCTTTATGTTTTATGGAGGAAGCAAAACAACCATAATATGTGTCACAACACGAAGGAATCAGATGCTCTTCAATTTTTGGGTTCATAGAATGATAATTGATAGCATCTTAAAACTTGCTAATTTGTCTTGATATTGGGGGAAAAATATCTATATCTATCTGGAATAGGAGTAGATATTATAATTATTTGTGATCAAAGGAGGCGAGGTCACTTGGTGTCAGAGCTAAAAATTAGCAAGAAAATGGAGACAAAAATTTAGTGAATTCCTAACTTGTCCGAAGTTTGAGTGCTTTTATGGAAACTGCAAGTTTACATCTTTTGTGACTTTCATCAACTATTTTCTGTAAAATCCATTTAGAAATGTGTTCTTAACTGATTCAGCCCACACCACTGCTCACAGCAGCTCGATGACTGCCTCCTGTGCTCTTTAGATTGCTCCCTTTCTTCATATCATTTGTATCTCTTCTTTTTTCCTTACCACTTAAATATCAACCCTTTTTTTCTGGTGTCATTGAATATTATTTTTTATTCTGAACATCTATATGCCATACATAGGGGTTTTGTCAAACTTAGATGTTTCTTTTTTACATTTTTGTGAGACCACCCGTGAGGTCTCAAAGCGGGCACAAATTGTTTGCGTCTGGAGTCCAAAATTATCTGCGGGCTGAATCGTTTAAGTGCTCAACATCTTTAATATAGATATTAAAGATGTTGAGCTTTTAAAAAAGTATGCGATAAAAATGGCTGAACAGACTTAAAAATGATTTTTGTTCAGTTTCATTATTTTGACGAGAGCCTGAGTCCACCAGCTACGACACGTGTGTGAGGCAGCGTGGTGAAATCAGGCGCTCGTCAAAATAATGAAATTTAAGAAATTGGCATTTTTCCGCCGGTTTGGCAAGTTTTACCGAAATTTGTTTTTGGGCTCAACACCTGTTATATCCATTTAAGAACCCATTTCTGTGTGGGATTTTTATTGAAAAACGTTGATTAAAGGCGCAAAAAATGTAAATGTGTGTGTGTCTAAAGAAAGATACCAAAGGTCGCCACAGACCATTTTGAGCTACAGGCTGATAATAACAAAAAATCACTTTTTGGACCAAAATGTGTTTCCATAAAAAAATGGTAGTTCCACCTTTTTTTAACAATGTGTTAAAATGGTTTTCATTTATTTGATTTCTAAATGTTTTATTTTGAATAATGTTGAGTCTAGGGTATTTTTTTAAAGAGATAATGAAAAATGCTTTTAAAAGGTGTTAAAATCTATTCTTGAAGCATGTTTTCTCTTCCCTGCTATGTTTTACCTTTGAATTCTAATCATGATATTGATGTCAACTGAATGCCAAGATGGAAATGAATTTTCCATGAATAAATACATTAGAAACAAATGAATCATCGTTTTTTTCTAGATTGTATGTGTCCTAGACTTAAAAGCTAATTTTATCAAAATTAGATCTTTATACCCTACCTCACAAAATGTGCAATATCTCAAAAACTACTTGAGATACCTCAAAAATTCAAAAACCACTGTGGTTTGCATTGAATTTCCAATAAGGTACAACCCCTAACTCAAATTGGTCAGAATCCGACTTTGGTGCCTTTCTTTCGGCACACACACAAATTGTCAGTTTCCACAGACTCTCAGGCTATGTAAATAACCAAATTTTGGCGGCCATTTTCTCACTAATTTTACCTCTGAAACCAAGCGACACCCACCTTCTTCAATCGCAAATACATGTATCTCGACTTGTATTCAAGATAAATGGGTATTTTATTCATCAAAAGCAAGGCAAATGTTCAAGCTTTAAGGTGATATCAATAACTCCACATGCCCAAAAATTGATGAGCGCCTGAGTCCTGCTGCGTTGTGACCCATATTTCAGCACGATATCAACTGTTTTTCTTAGAGTTGTAGAGATCTCTAGAGAATATTGAACTTAAGTTAAGTGAACCTACATGAATCCTGAGGCTCAGAACAGTTCAGGAGTATTTTATTGGCATAGAATTATAGATCATTTCAGACATGTCAAATGCTATTGAAATTGCAGAAGATAAACAGATTGAATACCTAAATGAATTCTAATCAGTGCACTTATTTAATTACTTGCTGTACTCCGTCCGGATCCAGATTGCTTTGTTGAATGCTTTCAAACAAAATCTTCTAACTTTCTGCATCTAATCCACATGCTAAACAGAAGTAAAAGCATTTTTTTGTACATTTGCATGACAGATACTTGACAATTAATAAAACTGTTCCTATTATAGTGATCGGTATACTTTTTCTTGAAAAGTTTGTTGATAACCATGATTCTGACTGATCTACCATCCATAGGATAATTTTTGTTATAGCCCACTTAAAAACAATTTTTATGTTTGAAAATAACTTAATAATGGTTTACATTATTTCAGATGACAGTGATCCACACCAGGGCATACCTATCCTCAGTAGAGGTCGACACCGCTATCCTTTCCATTTTCAGCTGCCAGACACCACATTACCATGTTCATTTGAGAGTAAAATAGGAAATGTGCGCTATTATGTGCGGGTGACAGTCAACATTCCTTACGCTTCGTGTCCACAATGCATTCGCTACTTCTCCATCATAGGCCCCAATATTGATTGTGTGGATGAAAGATTTTTGGTAAGTTCGAGTAATCTTCCATGAAATCTCTATGTAGATTAAAGTTTAGTTCCTTCATCCATTTGTTATCCTTTTACTTGTTAATTTTTTTCCTTCATGAAATGCATTTTTCTTTTTGGCATGCAGCATTTTGTCGATAGTGCACAGATTTTTTTAAGAGAGCGCTCCATTAAATATCATCTTTTAATTTATACTTTTCAAAATTTCCCTTTTACACATTTAACTTGAAATGTACAAACTGCTTTTTCTGTAACTTAGATAATTATTTTCATAGAATGACAAGAATTTTCATATAAAGTGTGTGTTGGAGAAGACCTTATCGCCAGGAATGGTGCATTTATTCTGCTAGTTTGCATTAATGGTCCCAATTGGACTGCCTTCCTCAGGTTCCAGTGCAAGCAGTTGCCAAAAGAAACTCGTGCAGCTTATGCTGCGGAAAGGGCCCTCTTCTTTTGAGGGCGTCACTAGAAAGAACATCGTTTGTGTGTGGAGAACCAATCAAACTGAAAGCTGAAGTACAGAATGGTGGGGATTCAGAGGTGTGGGTCTTGTGTAAACTCATACAGGTAAGTCTGCACAATCTTTGTAGCATCAGTGATACTAGTTTGGTTCATCATTCATTGTTGCTTAAATTCTTTTCAGACAGATGATGTTTTGACTAATATCTGTTATTTAGTGTGTAATAGGTTCACTGCCGTTCTAGGCAAAAGAGTAGGGTCTGATTTCCACATGGAAAAGTCTATTTTGTAGAATATCTCAGACCTTTTTTATGTATTTTTGAGGAGGCTTTTTTTTCTTTGCTTTCCTATCCAGAAAACAGGAAATATTCTAGGAACAATCAGTATTTGTTATAGAGCTGCTGAATTTGTCTCTTATCAACATGGCGGTGTTTATCTGGTGGTGCCCCACTCAACAACACTAGGTCTCCATTTTTCCCAGGCTCTTCTTTGATGAATTATATCACAAAGTGGTAGACCACTACCAGATTTTTACATTGTCAATGCACAATGTTGGAGGTCTTCTCTTATTTCTATTTGCCTCTACTTTTTCCAGCGGCACAGTTACCGTCAGGCTGTTTTTTTTTAGATTTCCATTTAGGTGACCAAGATACTTGAGTCTCTTTTTGCCGATTTGAATAGCATACAGCCTGTGTATCAAATGTTTCAGGGTACTTCTATCTGTTTATGTATTTGTCTATTTAACCCAAAGCAGTCTTCTTCTAGAGAACCACATCTGTCCTGTCTGGATTCTGCTTTAATCTTCCTTTTTCAAAGCCCAGACCTCATGTGTGCAGAACTATCATATCCAAAATTTTTAAAATCTGATTTTGAGTACTCTAGGTACTCCCTACAGAGTTTGGTAATTAATTTGATAATTGTGTATTCTCAGGTCCACATTGATCCTCTGCTACTGTGTCCCCCCCCCCCAACCTCCCCAATAGTACTAATAATATAGCTTCATCATTTTCAATATGGTCAGCAGAGATGTCTATCTAAAAATAGAAAAAAAACCCACACCGTTATTCCTCACTTACATCAAAATGAAATGTTGAACTCCATATTAAAGACAGGAATGTTAATATCAGCAATTTAATGTTTAATTTATTCTCTTCGCATGGACGCTTTTCCTGTGTAAATTACACTATCAATTTACTTAATAGCACTGTACAATGGGTGCTGTGCATTTTCAAACTATTTTTAAACTGTTAGATCAATAATTACAGAAGAGGTCTAAAAATAAAATAGTGGACCTGCACATTTGAAATTTATATTCAGAGGGTTATTTTTACTTCTAATCCATCTAGTGAGAATTTTTGTATTTTTCATGAAACTTGTGTTTTTACATATACTGGTGGGCAAATGTTTTTTTTGGGTTTTTTTCTTTAATTTGAACCTTTATATCATATCTACCAATGAGGTTACAGGCTCAAAATGTTAATAGGAGGTATTTTCTTCATTCTTTGCTTTCGTTATTCTGTCTGTGAACGAGCCCAGATATGTTTTGATTTATTACATTTGCTGATGGAGTCCTTTGCCAACACATAAGCCTTGGCTTCGGCATAGATAAAGAATGGAATGTTATTTTTTAGACTGCTTTAAGATAATGATACCTGCTTTCTCAGTATATGTGAGACGCTGTGGTGAAATCAGGCACTCATCATGAATTCGAAGAAATCTGCATTTACCCATTTTGGCAATTTTTATTGAATTTTTTTATTTTGGCTCCACACCTTTTATGTTAATTTAAAAACACATTTCTGTGTGGATTTTACTGAAAAACATTGATTAAGGGGAACCCCCCCAAAAGTAAAATTGCAAGTTTTGGAAATCACCAAACGTTGGCATCCATTGTCTGGCTTATTTTACCTCTGAAACCAGACAACCTCCACCTCCTTCAATAGCAAATATCTTGACTTCTATTCAACATAAATAGGGTTTTGCTTTCATCAAAAGCAAGACAAATGAACAAGCTTTAAGATGATACCAACAACTCCACCTACTCCAAGATTGACAAGGGCCGGATTCCACGGCATCGTGACACTGTTTTTGATTTTTTAAATCAAGAAATGGGTTTTTATTTAGTTTTGATAATGAAAAAAGTCTTATTTGAAATAGGCAGCCAGAAATCTAACTTCTTACTTCCTCAGTATGTGGAGTTTTTCATCAACAAAGGTGTCTTGGGTTTGTCTAAAGAGGTGCGTCATACTGTTCTGGAAGCAGAGAGTGACAAAGTGCCTCCGCATGACACTGCTCAACTTGATGAGCTGATGAACAGGCTGATAGTGCCGGTCATGCCTCCAACCATGATTGAAGTCTGCGGGCTCGTACAGATTTATTATACTCTGAAGGTATTAGAGAATATGATGGTCTCGATTTGATAAGAGCATATCTTTTATTATCTATTTTTTTAAATTGTAGAAACCTTTATATATAAGTTTTATTTTGCTTAAACATAATTTTTTTTAAAATCCTATAATTCTACTTGTTTTATTTATTATTAGAAACCTTTCCACATCAATTGAAAGTATATATTGTGTTTGAAGTTAATATGATCACAAACACAATAGTAAGGTAATCTGCAAGTGGCAACACCTTGTGTCGACTCATATCTCTCTTCTCATGCTTATTTTCTCCTTTTCTACCTGACCTAAGATAAGAGTTAAGTTTTCTCAACATTGTACTTCTTTTTCTTCTCTTTTGTCATTTGGAAGTCTTTTACCTCCTCCTCTTCCTCCTCTACTTCTCTTATTCTCCTTTTCCTTTTCTAATTCTCCCTCTCCTCTTCCTCCTTCACCCTTGGCATGAGAGTCAAGCACCACCCATTGACTCTGACTTGACTAATGTTTCAGCTGTATCTGGAGACTTCCAAAGGGAAGGGAGATGCAGCTGAGATCAATATGCCCATCACTATTGCAACAGTGCCATTTAGAATACCAAATGCCCCTCCTCCGGATATCCTTTACGGTGAGTTGATAATAATTATCTTCTTATAAGGGAACCTGTACCTAATCTTTATTCTAGTTAAGCTTTGGAGTATCTTCTTAAATTGTTTTCTGTTTCTATCTGAAATTGTTAATTTTTTTCTGAAAGTGAAAGGGCATCTCTTTTCCAAAAAAGTAATGTTGTCTTTGGATATCCTTATCTCCAGCAAGTTGATCCCAGTGGCTCGCAGTCAGTGCTCTGCAATTGAGCCACTGGCAGAAGTATGGGTACATTCCTTTACGACAACTTTGACATCATATTAGTTTTCTGCAATTGCCGAAAACATTTCTCTGTTACCAGAAGTTCTTTCATTAGTTGAAGAACTATAAAAAAAGGTTAATTTATTTTGATTTAATGACCAATTCAGTGATATGTATGTTACTTTTAGATTTAGTACCAAAAGTCAAAAGAGGGCCCAGTCATAGTTGATTTATCCTCCAGGAGATAAAGAGTTAAGGTAGTTTAGTTTTATAAAGGCTTATCACAGAAAAAATGGATAGGCTACCTGTTAATGAGTCTGCTTGAGGAGTGAAAATTGTGTCCTGAACCCTTGATCCCAAGAACTCTCAAATCTGAATATGTTCAAGTTTCTTAATAAGAATAATAAATGACCAAATGTTGGCTTTTAACACACATTGTATGTGGTTCTGTGAACTGTTTCTAAAACAACACCAACAATAGGCTTAATTAACATACTTGTTACTTTTCTTAAAGGATTTTTGTATCATCATGAATGGTTCATTGTCTTCATTGTTCAAAATATTGTGACAATAACTACATTTGTTTAAATTATTATTGTTCTTTTGTTTGATAGAGTCTGCCAACCCGAATGTGGAGGGAGGCATGTACATCAGTCCGGAGTTTCAACTGGGACAAGTCTACATGGGGGAGGAGGTGGATCCTGAGACTACCATTCTCTACAGACCCATGTATGTGTGTGTCACGGGAGATCGGCCATCATCAAACTCTGATGCACACCTGTTACAGGTAAAAAAAAAAGGGAGTTGAATGAAGTATATCATTTGATTAGGTTGTTTTTTTTGGCTTTTCTTTTTCCTATTACTCATAGCAAGCTGTATTGTCATGTATAGATATTGTTAAATTTGCTGCGTGTTTGCAGGATTGGCATCTGTAGTGTAGCTTTCAAGGGCTTTGATGTACCCATTCATAAGACCTGAGCTCCATTTCTGTATCGGGAGAATATTTATCAAGCTTCTTGGTCTTTTTACTGAGACATTGTAATCCTATCAGTCCAGGTTGGCTTTGACAGGCAGGGTCGAACCCCCCCCCCCCCCCCCCCCAATGATCTAAATTGTGTTGATGGGGGCGTAAAAATGTGTACATCTTAGTGCAGTTACTTGGTCTGGATTTACTATTTTGGTCTAAGAGGACACAGTAGTGCCTAAATGCCCACCTACTTCTCTCGAGTTTTTTTCATTGCTCTATTATTTTATTTTCCTTTCTTCACATGCAATTTTCTTCTTTTTCTTTCTTTTTTATTGCTTCAAACAACAGCAGCATTGAAGCACAAAAACATTGTGACACTTGTTTCTAACCCGGTAGTGGCTGTGCGTAAGAGAAGAGAAGACAGTGTCAAAGAACGGTCAATTAAAAAAAACCCATGACTCTCTTGGATGTTGCTTGCATCATGTAACTTTTAATTTTTATTCAAATTTCATATACCTACATATTGTTTGATGTTTGAGGAGTTTTTCAAATTCTACAAAAAAGACATTTTAAAGAATTTAACAGGCATTTGCATATATATCTCTTCTCTTGATCCGTAAGAGTATCAGTCTTTGCTGTCAATTTGAAAGAGTGATACATGTATCAAACCTGTCTATTTGTTATTTTCTCTCAAAAGGTTCCCTCACGACAAGCTTGCAGAAGCAGAGAAAATGTTCGAGGCAGCAGAGAGGCCCTCCAAGAAAACATCATTTGTAGCCAAAACGTGCCACAGCAGCAACAAATGGTCAAACTGTTTCAAGTTCATGATGAAGGAGGAGAGAGTTCCCGGAAAGCAGGAAAGCCCGTAGTCGAAGACAAGTTCTTGAAGGAAATCACTGCAAAAATCGCGAACCGTCAAGTCAATGGAAATGATGATGAAGATAAATCAGGAGTAACCTCTGGCAGTCCTCCTGTGCCATGTGAGATTGAGTCTCAGGTGCATCTCATGCGGAAACAACTCGTGTCAAAAGACAATGTACACAAAGCCCTGGTCAATGAGTTGCGCAAACATTTGTCAGAGGATGAAGGTGCTGAAAAACCACACCCTGGTTTGAAGAAAGTGCCACTCAAGAAGGTGCCAGATTCATCAGGTGCAGGAGTCGAGTACAACAAACATTTGAAAACTGAAGGAGACAAAGGCATCGGTCATATGCCAAGTGCTGTCCCTGAGTTTCCTTCACACAAAGACCAACAACATGGTGACATTGGTCAGTCTCAAGCTATGAGTTCAGAAGTACACACAAGTAGTTTGAACTCCTCTCTTGAGCATGCTGAAAAGTTACTGGAGAGCATGAGTGAGCTGGAAGACCAGGAGGTCGAAGTGGAATATTCAGAGCATTCAGCATTAATCAGCACTCGTGAAATTGTTGAAAACATGGATGTAGAGGTTCAAAAAATGGAGAAAAGAGCAAGCTCTAAGAGTCCTGTCTCTGACTTTAGAGCTAGTTATGATGAATCTATGCAACAGTACATTGAAGAGCTTCCATCACCTGCCGAAGAGCTCCTCTCTACACCCACTGCGCCACTCATTCTTTCAGACATGACCATGGCAACTGATAACACGGAAGGCTCCACTATCGACAGCAACCCTGTAGTCAGTGTTCAGCCAATGTCTTCAGCAGCCAATCGTAACAGCAGCAGCTCAATGCACACTGATTCAGCTGGTGTTGGCGGGGAGAGGATGGTTCGTTCTCAGCCCCAAGTGGCACCAAAACCAAAGCAGGGAGCACGTCACTCTTTTCCTGCATCTGGAGCCTTTATTTCAGAAAGTGGAGAACTGACAGTGCAGGTTACAACAAGGCCTAAGAGCCAGGTGGTGGAAGGTTCTAGAAGTGCCCAAGATGAAGTCAAGGATAGTAATGCATAGAATGTCACATCGCGTCTATCATTTCCCTTTGTGTCACGCATGCTGTTAGGTCACCTTGAACTTGTACATAGATCTTTACCTCTCTGTCTTGTCAGCTTGACAAATGTTGGATTTCCTTCATTTTGCTTGTAAAATTTGTCATTTATTATTTGATTAATTATATGAACTTTACTGTCTCAATAGAAAATGTTACAAAGACATGTTTTAGATTTTGTTAATAGTTTTGCAGACTTTTGAACATTTGGTGACATTTTGATTTATTTCATTGCCCCATTATGAAAAGCTTGTAATGTATCTTTCATTTATCCTTACCTACCGCTTGTACATAATTTCATTGAACCCATTTAGTCTTGTATAGTTGATTCACTTGCCTAGCAAAATAGGTCATCTCAATTTTCCATGCACAATTGTATGTTAAAAGCTTTGAGAAATAATTAAGAATGTAGTTTGAGATTCTTACTCAATACCATAGTTTCTAAGCTCACATTAACAACAAAAAGTTTTCTTTTCCTTTTTTTCAAGATGGCACACATTTTACAAGTTCAAGGAACTTACTTCTTAGAATTGTTGCACATTTTCATACGAAAGTAGAGAACTGTTTCAGAATTTTGTTTACTCTACCTATACTTTTTTAGAGCATTTTCATAGTTTTTGACTGGTTAATCCTGCTGCCTGCAATTTGTGAAGGTGATGGACAAAGCCCGAAAATGTACAAATAATGGAGAGAAAATGTACACTGGTGTGGTATACTTTATATTAGCTTATTTTTATCTTCATTTTTAGTCTTTAGATTGCACGGTAATTATTAGAAGTAAACTGGAAGTGCACATGAATTCTCTCAACAACTAACGTTTTCTGATTGCTTGACCTCCTCTCTTTAGAACTGAAGGAAAAGTAACAGCTCTAACAAGTTTAGTCATTGATTTTATATTAACACCTAAGATGTCTGTTGCACAAATTTGTCAAAAACTTATATAATGACACACCTTTTTTTTTTTCAAATTTAAGTCTCTCAAGCATTAGGGGAGCTTTCCCCTCTATCTTCATAAAATTAAATATATGAAGTTGCTGATTCTTCGCTGCCTTATTGCTCTGATTTTATCCTCAACTTTGTATACTGTATTTTTTTACATGAAAAATGAAAAGGGCTTCACTTTTAGTAATCAACTGTACTGCTTTATTTTTGCCTGTCTATTGGTCATTATATTTCCACCCCCGTGTGTCTTCCCCCATTTAAATCCCAACAAACAGGTCCTTTTTAATATGAAAATATTTTTTCTAAATTTTCTTTTAGCATCATAATAGCATTCTGTTATAAACTTAATAATCATGCTTACATTCTTTATTCAGGATAAACTAAAACTCTGTTTGTTCATTTAATTTCTTTAGAACAGTGAATGAAAATCTTTACCCCTTCAATGTTATTTTATTATATTGACATATGTTCACCTTGTTCATCCGAGAATTGCATTTTTTTTGCATTTTGATAAATCAGGGAATGCAATCAAAATCATATCCAAAAGATTAAAGCAAGATAATGTAAGGGAGGTAATGTTTATTGTTCTTTAAGTATCATGAGTGGAGTGGTCAGACAGCATAAAGTTAAACTCAACGCCTGGGCCAGAATAATATTGTGTTAATTAAGGGAGTTTTTTTGTAACCTCTTTTAGCCTTATGTGGATTTCCTGCTCCTCCTCCTCTCTGAGATAGTCAATCATTGATATTGGTTGTTATCAAAGATAGTAGAAGACAAGATGGGCCACTCAGCCTAAAAAGTGTCCGCAGGAAGTATGCTCTTTGCTTCAGATGGCGCTGCAGTCTGTTTTGAAGCTCTCTTTCGTTTTTCCAGAAGAAGAATAGGAATAGCACCTCCTTGCGTGCGCAGATCGACTGCTGTTCATCAGCAGTTCGAGTACGTTCAGTGCGGAGTTTTAGGTTTTTTTTATTTTATTGACCTCTAGCCTTTCATTGTAAAGTCAAATTAAACAAAGAAAACCATCACCCTTTCCTCCGGAAGAGTTTTTTTGTCAGCGTAACCATTTTACAAAAGCCTTCTTCCGAAATTTATCCCAAAACTTGCTAGTTTCACTTTGATTTTTTAAAACTCAAGTAGGGTAACTCTGTTCGCAAAGAGTGCGCTTTTGTGAAGAGGGCGCCACCAAATTTTGAGGACACTTTTTTAATTAGCTCAAAGAGAGAAGTGGCCCATCTTATTATTTACTATCATTGTTGTTATATATGACAGTTTTTTCTACACCTTGTAGGCAAAGCATCATCTATTTACGAATGCATTTTTATTGTTTATAGTTTCCAGTGTAGGCTTATAGTCAGTTTTCATTGTGTAATTAAGTTGGAATTTTACATTCATCCTTTTCTGAAATGCTTCGCTCTTTTCAACTCTTAATTGTCAAAGTGTATTTTGTCTTATCAAGGGCGTCATGCTTTTGTAACATCTAAGTTGTTTTTTTTCTGTATCTGAAAATTCAAGGCAGTAGTGGTTTTCTATGATCATACTAGTTTTATTTTTGCGCTATTAATGCCCATATGTGGAGTCCAGTAATTGCTTTAGACTTATATTGCAGGACCACTTTGAAGAGAGAGCTTTTTAAAATTTTGAAAGCTTAGTTATTTTATTATAGAAGAGGAAACAAAGATGAGGTGAGAGTTCAAATTGAACCATTCATTTTTTCATGTAACTTTTAGTAGGGCCAAAAGAATTGGCTTTTTATTTTCCATATTTGTTAAAACGGTCAAAATTGTTAAAGACGACAACCCACTGTTGAGGAGGAAAATGGCTGTCTTATCCAATCTTGGACAAGACTAATCAAAATGAAGAAAACAATCTATTCCCATCTGAGGTCTCATTTGGAGGCAGTTGCAGGCTTAAGACTACCAAGGCTTATTAAAATGTTAGTGACTGGTCATCATGGGTTAACAATGGGAGGAACCAGAAACCTTGTTGTGGCAACATGCTGTTCAACGATTGGTTCTTTCATAGGACAGGCAAACAATAGTGACAGGTGAATAAGAATTAGGGGCCAATAATTTTACACTGGTAATTTATGACCATGTGTGGGTGATGAAAGATTTGTGGGGCCATTTTGGACAGGGTTTTTGAGCTGTTGGTTGATAAAATATAGTGGCTGTGCAGGACAGGTTATCATTTTAGGCAAGGCCATCATAAAGAAAAAGGGAGACATGGAAAGTGGCCTTTTGCACAGGTGGTCATCTGGGAAGTTTTGCTGGCTGTGCGAGCTTCAGACAGTGCAGGGTGCTTTAAAATTCTACTTATCAAAACAATCCACAGAAGATATATAAGTAAGCAAGCCCTAACCAAATTTGAAAGGTCATACAGTAAGTTAAATTTGATTATGACTACAAGTTTCAGAGATAATATAAGGCTTTTAATGTTCTATTTTTGAGTTTGAGTTTGTTATACATATCACTTCTGTCGGTTTATCTTTTTGTTATGATTTATGATTGGTACAATGTCATTTGATGAATAATCATTTTTATATGTAGGCATAAAGTTCTTGGTTCATTATCTTATATATTTTGGGATTTTTGTGAACAGATGTCCTGTAATGGCTTTAAAAAAATACAAAAATATGTTTCAGGAGTTTTGATACTGGAAAAGTGGTTCATCATTTTACATGAGCAATGTTCTCATTTGGTGCCCAGTTTATTTTCAACTCATGCACGGATCTAATGAAATAGATTTATGCCCTTGATATTTAAGGCCAGTAAAAGTATTACAAATATGAATTTTTTTGGGGAATTTTATTTGGTCTTTCATAACAGATCTTGGTATTTACAAATATATAACAGGGTATGAATTTAATCTTTTTTGATGTGTGCATTGGATGAACAAGATGAGTAAAGACAGTGGGGGCTATGAGGATGTGTTATTAGGTCCATAGAGCTGTTGAAAAATGTGCTGAAACTTAACTGTATCCACCCACGCAACACGCGCAACACTTATCCCCATGGTCCAGGATGCAGATCATGTGGTAAACGCTATATCACATCATTACGTCCCGTGGGGAAAAGGTACGGCTTCTCTCCGTTGCCGATCGATGTCCTGGGTGGGGGGGCAAAGTGTGAAAGGTTAAAAAATGAGGAGGACAATTATATACTGGGGCATGTTGACAGTGGCTGTCCCTCTCCACTATTTCCACTTTCCATTTCATTTTTTCCTCTTTTAACAAAATTATGAAAGTAAGCTTATATTATTACATTATTGTTGAGAGGAAAGTTGCTTTATCTTTTACAGAGCCTTGCTCATAGCAATTTGTCCCTTTTGCTTTTATAGAACTTTTATGATAAGAATGCCCAATTGAATGACATGTTCACTCGTTGAACTGGTTGTTGCTGTTACTGTTGATGTCTTTGTCTCTGTTGTTGATCTTGTTGCTGTTGTTATTGTTGCCGTTGTTGTTGTTGCTGTTGTTATTGTTGCCATTGTTGTTGTTGCTGTTGTTCTTGTTACTTCTTGTATTGCTATTTTGCTTTTTCATTTTTTGTTTTGTTTTCATTACTGCTTCGATTAATATTGCTCTATTATTAACATATTTGTATTATTGCAGTTCATAGTATTTTCTTTTTTAAAAAATATTCTCACAAACTGTTTGCTTGTTTTTTCTTTTTTTCCTTTTTTTTTCTTTTGTCACTTATCATAAGACCTCTCAGGCAGAAATGAAAAGAACTTTTGCTGAAGTCTTCTGTTTTGGGGTTTTTATTTTTATCCCTACATAAAAAATAAGAGGAGTCTCTTACATATATTATTATGACGTATTGGCTTGACTTTTAGACACCACTCACAGCATGTCATAAGGATTGATTCTGAAGTGTGGAAATGGGTAAAAGTAGCAACTCTCCATTCCCCCCTCC